ACTTTTACTTCTTTAAAGTTTAACACTCGTTATAAATTAAATCTGTCAGAACTCATGAAAGAAGTTGTTTGTGTGCTCTAAACAAATTAAGTGTTGTATTTACTCAACTAAATCATATCAACTATTTCCACTAAACCTAGCAGAGTAAATTTGAGGCGATATACGTATTTTACGAGTGTGGGAAACGAGTTTTCCACGAGTGTGGAAAATTACTTTTACTTTCCCAGTTTTTGTGAACAGTTTTATTACTTTTACTTGAGTACTTTTCTCATCAGTGACATTTATTTTTTACTAAAGTCATTTTCTGTCAAGGTATTTTTACTTTTACATAGTTAATTTTTTCAAGTACTTTATAGATCTCTGATTAAAGTGTAGCTGTTTGATCACAAAACGCACACATGATGTACATTGGTTTAGTTTTTGTTAAATAGATAATAACACAGGGATTTGCCACGTGTCAGTCTCCCTTTGAGGTTAAATATTTGTTACTAGAAGAGGACAAAATATACTTTTAAAATGTTTTTTTCATATTTTATTTATCTGTAACAAACAGGCTTCCTTCAGGGGAAATGTGATTATTTTTATGGCCGTCTTGAACGACAGAAAAGACAGAAAAACCTTTTTAAATCAGCTCTGTCTCTTATAAAGTGCAGAATGCTGAAAAACAAGCAGCTGTACTCGAACCTGACGTGACCAGAGCGCAGAAAGCGTAAAACAAGTAGTCGGATGTCACGATCGCGGAGCGCCGTCGTGTCAAGAGGACGCCCGATGGGAAAAAAGACTCGGCAGGAAGATGTTTTCTCTGGAACCGAAACGGTTTCCAGTGTTAGATCATCGGAGCAGCAGCTGAGCTTTAAACCCAAACAAGTTTCTGAAGAGGAAAGAAGAAATTTACTGGACAAACATTCACAGATGAGTGCATCTCGGGGGGGAAAAAACTAGGATAAATAAATTTTAAAAAACGTGAAGCTCAGACTGTATTTTAATTGAAGATTGTAAAAATAAACTTCTGCGTTTCAGCTCGACAGGTTCCTGGTGTTTGTAATTTTCTGAGCGGGAAACGCAGGAAACGTAAACAGCTGAGGTTGGTTTCCCAGGCCGGGTTTGAAGGAGCAGTTTTCACGATGTGGCTGCAGTGGCAGGAACTGATCAGCTGATCCGAAGGCTTTGGGCGGGTATATTTAATGATGCGTTAGAGAAGTTATTCCTCCTGAACCACAGGCTGAACACCGCAGTCCTCTKCTGCACAGGGCTGGCTCGTAAATTGTTTTATTTTATTGCCGTAAGCCAGAGTTTTTGTGGTTGTTTTTCACTTCGACACTTTGGTTTCCCAAAACTGACGACATGGGCCTTTTTCATCTTTCCTGATCTGCCTGCAGGCACACCAATCTGTTTACTTTAATGGTTGCTTCCAAAAGAGTTAAACAAGACCTAAAACAAACATTACTGAATGATTTAAAATAGGAAAAATAAAGATTTAAAAGCAGGATAATATTTCTTCTATATATTCTTCACAACTCCACACATTTAACTAACTTTCATGGCATCTTTACTGTTTAAAATGTTTTAAAATCTTTCCTCGACAGTTTAATTTACAACAAAAGCACCTCAAAKAAGACATAAATCCTTCTCAGTTTTCTTTAAAACATCAGGAATTTATTCACTGGGCAAATAAATAAACAAAAGTCAGTTTTCATCCTTGTTGTATTTGTTTCGCTCTCAGTTTTAGCCTCGGTTTGAAGCGACTTCCTGTTGGCTGCATCGGCCAAGAGTAACAACCGAACTCCAACCAATCACCCGGAGATCACACACTCACAGATCTCACAATACACACAACTACGGTTTTCATCTACTGCAAACACGTTTAAACCCACAGAAACACACAACTATAAAACCTTACAAACATTCTGGTCTGCAAACAAACATGGCGACAAAACAGCTTCACTGTAAAACCAAAACAAACCTCCGCTTTTTTATGGAGGAATTCCATCTGATGCTGATCATTTAATCAATATAACTGATCAGCAGCACCTGGTTGACCTTTAACCTCTGGAGCCAAATGGTAGAAGGAACAGCAAACTTTATGACCTTACATCTTATTTCTTAGTATTGATTTGTTAAACATTAAATCGCCACGTTCCAACCACAGCTGTGAGAATCTAAGACAGAACTTGAACACTGCACGCCTTTCTGGGTTTTAGAATCGTGCTACGTGCTAGATTTGTAATCTTCACCAAGAGCACTTCACTGTGATTAAAGGAAGAGCTGCTGATGTTGCTAAGAGACAAAACCACAGAGTTTTATCAGAGCTCGCTCGCCTACACATGAACGTGAAAAACACTTAGATCAGGGGTCAGCAGCCTTTACGATCAAAAGAGCCATTTGTGCTGCTTGTCTCATTAATAAAATGTGTCCAGAGCTGCAAAACAAACTAGAACTGTAATTATCAACTGGTGGTCCGTGGGCCTTTTCGGGAACCTTTACGGTCAGTGGAGGTGTCATTATAAAAGTAAAAAAATAGAATTATTATATTATTTATTACTATACACATCAGGATAAAATAAAAAGAACAGATTTATGTAAATGAAAAATACTAAAATACTGTATTTATACCAAATTTCATAAAAATTAGTACAACTGCATTATTCGGATGCTCAAACCCCCCAAAAATTGTTGTTATGTTTGGTCATATTTTCAAAGAGCCACTGCAGAGAGCCAAAGAGCCACATCTGGCCCCAGAGCCGCAGGTTGCAGAGCCCTGACGTAGACACTCGCACACAGCAGGTCCAGGAGACCTCCCTCCCCTCAGAGATGCTCTCCAGCTCCTCTGGGGGACCCCAAGGCGTTCCCAGACCAGAGAGAGGATTTATAATCCCTTCAGCAAGTTCTGGGTCAGCCCCGGGGTCTCATCCCAGTGGGATGCGTGGAAGACCTCCAAAGCATCGTGGCGTCCTGATCAGAGGAGCAGAGACTTTCTTAAAAAAATCTGCATTAGTTTTGGTTATTAAATAAAATGATCAACAACAGTGGAATTTCATAATAAGAGCATCAGACCACTCCAACATTATTAACTTTTAATTTAAAGTATTTTTGTTTGTTTAGTACTGCAGGAATTTGACCTGAGATTATTTATTTAATATATAATGGATAACAAATACATTTATAACGTGACAGGGTGACGTTCAATAAAGCAAAATATAAAAATATACTGTATCTATCTTTTTAAAATTTAGGGGAATATTGCTAAGAAAATAAACCAATTTATAGGACTGTTGTGCAATTCCTTTTCAATAAATATAGGCTGTAATTTTACATTTACAATACATATAAAATGTAGCTATTTATCAATAAATTTCCGTACATTAGTCGACTGAAATATCTGTTTTTTGAGGGGTCTATGTCTGAGTTGTAAAGTATAATGGTCCTGAGGTGAAAAACTAAACAACAAAATACAGCAAGAGGACAAGAGAGAAAAAATTATAGAAAATACATGTTTAAATAAATATTTTTTGTAAAAATATAATAAAAAAGATCAAACAATTAGGAACAAGATTTCAAAATAAATGTCAGTCTGTTTTGTTGTTTTTCCCTTTTTGCTCAGTTTTTTACATTTTGACTTTTATATTAAAGTTATCACATCATGTTTTTATTTCCCAGTGACGTCAAGTCAGATTCGTGGCTTCTGAGGACTTTCTGAGTCCATCATTCAAAAACTAGTTTCATTAAAATAAAGTGATGTCCTACCTTTACTTATAAATGAAGTCCATGCACAGCTCATAATATCCCATCTGAGTCCAGACACTGTCATAAGTAGTAAAAAGACAGATAAATACAAAAGCAGTTACTTTTCTGGACATCACTTGCTAGCAGCTAGCTTGTTGTTACTTCCTCTGCGCCTGTGCGAAGTAATAAAAAGACTTTTTGAGCTCACGAGCGCCATCTACTGTGCAACAGGAGAACTGCCAGCCTCTCCTCGAGACTCGCTGTTTTGTGACACAAAACACATTAAACACATATATTACATAAATCAGCTGAAAAGTCAGGACATAATGAAAGCATTTGAAACATTTTACTGACATACAGACACAGTAACATGCTCTCACTGCCTGACATACCAGCAGTTTGTTCAGGATTTCGCAATCCAAGATGGCGTGTCATCCTTGTGTTTGAAGAGGAAATGAGAAAATTCTGCAATTTTGAATTAAAGAAAATTTCTAAATTGTTTAGGTTAAATGGAAAATTGGTTAAAAGGACAAAGCACTGGATAAATATAACTATTTATTTTTTATTTTATTACTCGGTTAATTTTCGGTAAAGTTAGTTTGTCAAAAAGTTACAGATTTTCATGAAACTTTCAGGGCATGTTGGAGTTGTAACAAAGAACAGCTCATTTGACAGAGCTGCACCTCGCCATCATCAGGCACAAATAGAAACAGAGAAGAGACAAAGGCTGCTTTTTACAGATGATGTCATACTCTGACAGCCATTCAGTATCCAGCAGAACTTTGTTCCACCAGTCACAGCTCAGCAGCTGCTCACTATCATTTATCATTTGCATAACTCTTTCTACGACCAAGTAGGGGTCTCTGCAGTACATGATATCTTGTGGACGGAGATGGCCCCACTCGCGATTGACCTCTGCCAATCACGAGTAGGGCCGTCTCCACCCACATCGAGACCTCTGCCAATCACGAGTAGGGCCGTCTCTGCCAATCACGAGTGGGGCCGTCTCTGCCAATCACGAGTAGGGCCGTCTCCACCCACATCGAGACCTCTGCCAATCATGAGTAGGGCCGTCTCCACCCACATCGAGACCTCTGCCAATCACGAGTAGGGCCGTCTCTGCCAATCACGAGTAGGGCCGTCTCCACCCACATCGAGACCTCTGCCAATCACGAGTAGGGCCGTCTCTGCCAATCACGAGTAGGGCCGTCTACACCCACTTCGAGACCTCTGCCAATCATGAGTAGGGCCGTCTCTGCTAATCATGAGTAGGGCCGTCTCTGCCAATCACGAGTGGGGCCGTCTCTGCCAATCACGAGTTGGGCCGTCTCTGCCAATCACGAGTAGGGCCGTCTCTGCCAATCAGGAGTAGGGCCGTCTCCGCCCACATCGAGACCTCTGCCAATCACGAGTAGGGCCGTCTCCGCCCACATTGAGACCTCTGCCAATCACAAGTAGGGCCGTCTCTGCCAATCACAAGTAGGGACGTCTCTGCCAATCACGAGTAGGGCCGTCTCCGCCCACATCGAGACCTCTGCCAATCACGAGTAGGGCCGTCTCCGCCCACATTGAGACCTCTGCCAATCACAAGTAGGGCCGTCTCTGCCAATCACAAGTAGGGACGTCTCTGCCAATCACGAGTAGGGCCGTCTCCGCCCACATCGAGACCTCTGCCAATCACGAGTAGGGCCGTCTCCGCCCACATCAAGACCTCCGCCAATCACGAGTAGGGCCGTCTCCGCCCACATCAAGACCTCTGCCAATCACGAGTAGTGCCGTCTCTGCCAGTCACGAGTAAGGCCATCTCCACTCATAAGACAACATGTACTGCAGAGACCCCCCCTTCTCCGTACGTCCCTGGTTTGTGCAAACAGGAAATGTAAACAGACGGTTTCTATGAGTTTAGATTGAAACAGGATGTAAACAGATTTAAATCAGTCGTCGTCCTGAAACCTTCAGGAGATGTTCTTATTATTTTCTTCTGTCCTTTCTGTTTGTTTCTGCTCCTCCACAGCGATCACACAGCCTGACTTCCCATTGACGTCGACACATTTGTCCTGTGAGTTTGTGTCATTTTGAGCCGTCAACCGTTTCGTGTCATTCTCGTCTGTCTGTGGGATCGCGCTCGAGTTTTTCGGGTCTGTTTTCAAGTCGATCTGCGTGCTGGTGTGAGTGAGCAGCGTCACGGTCGGGTGGCCGTTGTTTTCTTCTGTGGTGGCCACCTCCTGAGAGTCGTTGGCCGGGTTTGTGGGGCTGGCGCTCCCACGGCGGCGGCAGCAGCAGAGTATCCTGGTGACGGGCTGGACGATGGCGCTGTAGAGGCCGCGGCGGGCGCTCTCACTGACGAAGCAGTAGAGTGCCGGGTCGGCCACGCAGTTCAGGGTGGTCAGCATCAGCGACAGGTGGTAGTAGTTAAAGATTCCTAGGAAATGAAAAAAAGACAGAGCAGTGTTGTTCAGGTCGAACCCTCTTCTAATTTTAATCGTTACATCCTTGAAATCAAGCCCTACCTTCTATAAAAGCGCAGTCCCGCTCCAGCAGCGTGCGGACCAGCAGGAAGACGTGGTATGGCGAGAAGCAGACGAGGAAGATGAGGATGGTGCTACTGACCAGTTGTCTGATCCTCACCTTCTGATCCGGCTGAGTTCCCGCGCTGCGACCCACCGCTCGAAGGACGCACAGGTAGCTGATCTGCGCCGGCAGGAAACGCAAAGTTCAACTTAAAAACAGTTTACAAACAAACTAAGGTGTTTCAGATGCAGATTTAACCTGATTTAACACGTCCATGGCCTTGTCATTGCTTTTAATTTACATAAGATGACATCAAGAACTGAGCTTTGATTTGAACACTTGACACGTCCAATTCTAGTCAAAGAATTTGGTTAAATTTAGAACAAACGGAAACGTTAATCAGGCTTCGTCCATATTTAGCCAAAATAAAAGATGCTACACAGTGGTGGGCAGCACTAATCTAAAAATTTGTTCCACTAGCCCTAAAACACTAACTCAGATATTTAGGTCCCCTAACTCTAAAGCACTAACGCATTGTAAGTTTTAGCAAAAGCTAATTCTAAACATTAATGTTGATCAATAACATTTATGTACCTCAGTTAGTGCTTCTAAATTTAGCCTATAAATTTAGCAAGTGCTAATCCACTAATAAATTTTAAAATTAGCAAAAGCCCTAAAGCACTAATCAGGAAATTAGTTCCCTTATCAGTGCTATAGGGGAACTGTGCCCACCACTGCTGCTACACATCGGGCATTGTTTAGTTTAATTCATCCAGAGTTGTCTAAACTAAAACACTGAAAATTACAGTTCTTTTGGTCCACATGTGTCAAACTCAAGGCAAAGGGGCCATATGTGGCTCGCCACAGCATTTTATGCGGCCCATGAGCATTTCAAACATGTACTTAAGCCGTCATTGCACATAAACTATGGCTGTGTCCAAAACGACAGGCCAGGGCCTCCGGAGGACCCAGACTACCCGGTCGCGGCGGGCCGGGTCCTTGGTAGACCGGGAAGACCGGAAAAAAGAGTCTGTGAATTTGGACGGTCTAGCCTCCCCTCCTTACCCCGGCGTACGTCATGTCACCTAGCAACTGTGACGACGCTGAACAAGCAAACTTAAGTCAAAATTAGAAAAAATATCAATATATTAGCATTATTAATATCACAAAACTATAAAATTAACTTAAAGGTATCATTTGAAGAACTAATTGACCCGCTATAGGTTCATG